TCTAGTGGGTCACTTTCATTAAGCTTTGAGTTCCATTGGCAAGGTTTAAACTTTTGAGAAAGACTTCACAACCTTGAAAACAAAAACGCTTTCATTTTGCATATCCTTGCACATTTAATATTTGTAATAGATTAGTAGTGTATGAATGTATTTTTTATGAGGCTCTTATTTTCGAGTGTAGATGTAGTACTTAACCGACAAATGTGTTTTAATGTTTTGAAGTAATATTTATGTGACAATGTGTGGTATGTGCAAATTTAAGAAAAAAAAATATTTTTCTTAACAGGTCATAACTGGTCGGGTCACTTTACCCGTTGGGTAAAGTGACCCGACCTGTTAAGGACCCGTTAAGATAACAAGTGTGACACGACACGACCCGTTAAGATAACAGGTGTTACACGAAAATGACACGAACACTACTGACACGACCCGTTTGCCAGGACTACCGCAACAACCAACCCCAAATTTTCCCACCGTGCAAGTCGGCTGCAATGCTCACCTCCGATGAAGGTCTCTTTTCTCTCCTTTATCTCTATCTTCTACTTTGCAGATGTCCTCCTTGATATTCGAATGTAGTTTTCTCACTGCAAATATCCTACGGCGTAGCATCGATTAGATTGCATCCCAATACCAAACTTTGATAGAATATTCGTTCTTCGATGTGCTGGATCGATCATGATCTAGTGCGGGATATGAACAGAGAGAGAGAGAGAGAGAGGAAGCTTTGCCGGCGGTAAGAAGGAGCAATGGCGGCGGTGATGGGGTTATGTGGTGCTCGGGAGTTTATTTAACTGTTGGTTTTTGTAAATGTTTAATTTTTGGTAATATAATTAATTTTATGAAAAATTTAATGATGTTAGTTTGGAGTTAAGTTGAATAACACGTATCAAAAATTAAAAATATGGCACAAATGAGATATGAAATTTGGGGACAACAAACCTTGGCCCATGTTGCATCCCTCCCTGCTAGTTCAAAATTTTTTAGTTGCTAAGCCCAAACTCAACTAAATCCGCATTTCTCTGAACCTAAAGGTTTAGGCTGAGCTCGACCCTCAAGTGTTGGGACTTGCAGGGTCCAAATGGAAATCCGACTAACTAGTTAACAAATAAGACATTTTGTTTCTTATACAAATCTAAGACCATGAATGTAGAAGGGAATACCTTTAACCAGTTTAGCATTGTGATTTATTAATCTATGCCCAATAAAATATTTATAACTAATTTAGTGGATTTTGACATTCAAAACTTAGCCCAATAAGAGGAATTAACTTGCTTCCTCAAAACACTTTGTAGCTGATTCACAAAACTTCATGTTTGTGCTTATGTTTGGAACCGTTTCAATAAGATATCATTATTTGAAACCCTAAAGCAGGAAGAACAAAAGGTAGAGAACCCTAGCTCGGAGTTCAGTTTCTAGCACTCCCTTGTGAGTGTATAAAATTGCAAAGAAATATATGAGAAGAAAGGATCTTACGATTCAAGAGAAGTTGGGAGTGTTCTATAATTTTCACATCACAATACATATGAGAGTGCATACATGATGTCATGATACATACATGGTCTCCAATTATTCTCAACGGAGCTAACATCAAGTAAATTAAGACGCGTGATACCTGATGAAGCAAACGGTGGATGTGTCATACATTTATATACACGTCTGGGAAAACAAACATTCCTGCTCATGTTTTTGGCGAAACATTCTTTAAAATTAGAAATTTTTTGTTATTTGGATTGAGGTATGACACGATGGTCCAATTTAGCTTATAAGTTATAATTTCCTTCGGTCCTATATTTAGTGGAATAATTTAAAAGCTCATCACGCAAGCAGCAAGACATATGACCCTTCCACTTCCTTTTAGTATTGCATTAAGTTATATGCATGAAATATAAATTCATATTAACTTTTTTTTTTTTGTCAGACGATAAATTTGTTATATTAGATGTTATATTAGAGAGTCAGCGGGGTTCGAACTCACGTCGTGGTGCAAGGACAACACTACTCTCCACCATTGTGGTAAAGGGCCACTTGCTCATATGAACTTTCTTGGAGTGTTTTCATTTTTTCTTCTAGAATAAAGTTGAGCCTAGTTAGCAAAGAACAAAGGCACAATTTTGGCATATTTAGGCCTAAAGATCAAATTACAGAACGCCAGATCTCTATTCAAAAAGGGGTTCAAACCTCAGCTACAGGAACAAAGAACAATTCCTAGCCAGTCAATCCTGCGAATTAATGAGGGAATAAAGTTGAACCAAATTAAGTTGCCTTGGATCCTACAGTACTTCAAAGATACTGCTGCAAGAAAGCAGCCTAGCTAGCTTTTAGATAGCCAGTTTTATTACCCTTTACGAATACATGACTCGATGAGGATTCAATTAGTTCAAACAATAGTAAGTAGTACTACAGTACCTATATATGTATGGAGCTATTACGAATACGAGGTCCACCACAAGTTCCCATCCGCTAGGACCAACCCAATAGCCCAAAGTTCCGATGCACATCGACCTAATAGCTAGCTATTGAGCTAGGAACAACTATCCAAAGTACTCCTCTGCAAACGATTTAATTAAAATAATTAACTAATAGAGATAGGGGTCTTGGTCAAGTGGAATAATCACACCCCAATTATACATTGAAAGTTGTGGTCATGCACAAAAAGCTTTCATTGGAGTTCACCCTAAAGGACAGCTTATGACTCCAACCTCATCTCATTCTTCTCTCTGTGTAAGTGTGTGATTGGAAAATTATGGGCACAAAGAAAGCAATACTAAAGCTTTTACTTTTATGTTTGCAAAGGTAAAAAAAGATTCAACTTCCCAAAAGGGACTTTAGTGTGTGTGATCAGTCGGCATTCATACGTTAATCTTAATCCCTTTCCAATTAACACTACGTAAGGAGGGTTAAGAAAAATGAGAAGAATCATGCAATGAAAACAAGGAAATAGATTTGTGATTGCCTTTTCGTACAAGCAGGGTTTTGTGAAAACCAGCTACTTTTGTTTTTCATGGATTGACTTTTGTTACAAGCAGGGTATTACACAGGTAAAATAACAGTGAGAATCTAGAAAGAGAGACACGAGGAGACCCAATGTATTAATAATATCAAGCATCTGAAGATGAACGTGCTGGTCTTCCTCCAGAGTGTGTGTAATGAGAGAGAGAGAGAGAGAGAGAGAGAGAGATTGGTTTCCTAGGGCGAGAAATTTTTCGTGTGTTGAAAACACCATCAAATGTCGTAAGATACTTGAAAATAAAATTTACAACCACTTGTACTATGACACATGATGTACCAGCCCAAATTTTTCGGCACACTGAAATTTTTTTCCCTTGGGGCAACATTAGAGCAGTGGCATTTACCATATATATGTTCTTCCAAAACCTTGTATTCAACCATTTTACTTCCCTCTATTCATTTTAGAGGTTCTCTTAAAGTAGCTAATTATAGATGCAAATATAAAGGAAAGTAATGAAAGGAGATGTATACAAATTTCACTGGACTAATTACGCAGCAATTTAAGTCCGGGATTAAGCCACTGGGGTTAATCCAGCGGTGATGGTAGGCGGGGATGAGTAGGCCAGAGATCAAGTTTCGAAATCCTCCTCTATAACCAAAAACAATTTTAACTCTGGGATTAATCAGCTGCCCTTCAAGAATAAAAAGGGAATTCTTAAACGTGAGAAAATTCTCACAAACATTTGATCAAATTGGTTATGATATATTTTAACTTGATGGAGCATCTTGCACACCTAAACAATGCGCCTTGTTCTTGCCTAGTATACAAAATTACAGAAAAATAAAATAAATGTTCATGTAATCAAACTACTCACCTTTAGTTTTCAGCAGTGGTTGGGTTCTAATTAAGCTCCATTGACTCTTTGAACAACCAGTCAGTCATATAAGGCCATAATAAAGGGACAAAAACCCAGGTGGGGTTAAGACATTGTGGGCGACTAAAGCTTTGAGAATCACAAGTTCACAACATTCACAGTAACTCCAAGATAAACAAGATAAGGGTTTCAAATTAGTGTCCATTGGTAAGACTATAATCTAAAGAAAAAGGCAAGTGAACAGGTTTCCCTTTGGACAAGCACTTTCCCAAAGTTATTAATATTATTTGTACTTTCTGCTGAATCCACATTTTCGTATGTTGATCAAGTTTGGAAAGAAACAAGTTCAAGATAATAAGAGATGTCTAACAAAAACATCATCAAAGCAAATAGGTAAAGTGACAAGGTTGGAACTGATCTGAGAAAGTAAGAAACTACTAATCTATTTATGCATTTTTGTAATTTATAATCAAGACTTAAAAAGGATTACTGACTAATAGCATTAGATTATGAGTAAGAAACAGATAAGTGTACTGTTTAGGAAAGCTAATTTTTATTTTATATATATTGACAGATGAAAATAGGCATTTCGCATTTGAAACAGTGTCAGAAAGGGTGTCACTTGCCGGTTCTCCTCAGCAAGAAATTAATGCTATTTTCTAAAAGATTTGTTTAGATATTTTGTCGCCTAATAAATCTAGACCCACGAAACCCTAAGAGAGAGAATTATAACGTGAAAGAGAGAAGAGTGTTTACCAACATAATTTATTTTAGAAAAAAAAATTAAAAAGGGGGCCAGATCTGAGAAAATAGCAGAAACAGACAGATCAGATACTGGAAGGCATCATGAGGTATTAGGCCACAATCATCACACCATGATGATTCAAACAAGAGCAAAAATAAATGAAAAATAGATCCAGCAATCATCAAAACTTTTTATGCAGTCCATGAAAAAGAAAACAAAAATAGTCAAAATACTCCATCATTACACCAATCTGCACATCACTAACAACCTTAATTGCTCTAAAAACAAAAACCCAGAATTCTAAACTGACGGTAAAAAAAACCCCCAAAATAGCAAATTAATAAAAATAAGAAATAGAAACCAAACCTTCAGATGAACAAACCCTCTGCCCTGGAAAAAAAGGGATCTCTGTATAGATCGGAAGCCATAAATTGGGGGGAATGAAGCCTGGTCCGACGACACTAATTCACCTGATCATCTCTGTGTATGCAGTTGATACACGCAACATATACATACACATATAGATATATATGAAGGTTGTTGATCTAGGGGATTATAGATCAATATGAAAAGAGTCCTCGAGCCAGACAACATTCCCCTCAAAAGCTAAAGCTCCTCTTCTTCTTCAACATCTTCAAAAACCCTAGCAACAATTATGTATGTAAATCCAAGAGTGAGTGTTTATGCATGCGTGTGTTTGTTTCTCTGATCTTTTTATCTCTTTGTCCCCCAAGAGTTTCGCCTATCTTCAAGGGGGAGTTTAGAGAGAGAAAGAGACAGAGAGAGATAGATGAAGGATGATAATGATGAATTAGAATGTAGAGAATGATGATATGGTATGGTTAGTATGGTATGGGGTGGGGAGGGGGAGGTGACTTATAAATATATAAAAAAAAAACTTTATAATAAGAAGAGTAATAAAGGCCTTGTAAAAAAAGACAAAAACATAGTTGCGGACTCGACCCTACTGGCTGGGTTCTCATCTCTCACTTCCAGAAATGACCACGACCCCATGCACCCTTTCCTTCTCTCTCTCTCTCTCTCTCTCTCCCTCAGTTCCTTTACTGTGTCTAGCCACAGTCACGCACAGTGTCAAATTTATTTATTTTTTCAATTTTTGGATAAAATGAATGTTTATGTTAAGGGTGAGTAATTTACGAAGACTCACATAACAAGTCGGTTATAATAATTTGATATTGAACTTATTATATACAATAACAGATTCATAAATATTCGGAAGGGTGAGTGGAGAAATAACCCTTGCAGTATGCAAAATTTTTTAGACAGAAACAACACATAAATCTTTCAGTGTGCTTTTTGGTCGAACATTTGGTGGGGCTATATATAGTCATCTACAAAACTATATGTGTGATGAAATGCTCAAATAAACTGAAAGTTTTTTGACACACTTAGCGTTATGTTTCTTAAAAACATGAACCTTTAATGTCGAGACCTTCAAAGATTCAAATCCTGAATCTGCCTCTACCAACACTATTCATATACATTGATCAAACCTACAACGCCTTACTCTTAATAAAAATCTAGAATAATACTAGATTGTTATATTAATTTGCACAATCACAGCTTAATTAAAGAAGAAAACATGTTTATACTAGGTTAGATTTGATGGATGAAACTGATATGATATGATAACCACCGTCGGATTTGGCAGATGAGTCTCCTCGTACAAGCATGAAGCATGAGAATTAGTACCACAAAAAGTAAAAAAAAAAAAAAATCACCCACCATTTGATACGACTCTACTCTGTGTAAGCCTAGAGATCGATGACCCATTTTTTACCGTAGGATACTATCATTGTACAATGATCAAAAACTGAAAACATAATCAAATAACAATGACTAGTCGGGTAAATAGAATATTTTTTACCACAAACAAATAAAAAATAAATAAATATGGAATCAAAACAAATAGAGGAGCTATGAAGCGAGTCAGAGGAGTGGTTGAGGGATTGAGCTGCCCGATAATGGTAACCCCATTTAATACTTTTGTCACTTTTATGCGAAATCATAAAATTTAATTAATTAGTTTTTAACAAAATTAATTTTTTAATTGATTTGTCAAAAGAAATTAAAAAAAAGGGACCATCGGCTGGCGTGTCACTTTAGAGCTGAGGTGCACAGGGCGAGGAGTTCGAGGCGATGACCGACAGATGGGGCAGAGGGAGTCCATTCTCTTGTTTTTACTTTTCCTTTTAACCCTTTTACCTTTCCCCGACCTTTCTGGGTTCCTCCCTTTTTGTGCCTGTGAACATGTCTCGACGTCGTCGTTTTCGCTTTCACCCCTTCTAGGTAACATCTTTTTACCTTTTTCTTTTACTCTTTGTCACATTCATGTATTCAGTTCAATAAGTCGAAAGTATATATGATATTTGCAAATTGATGACATGGGAATAATGGGTAGATAGGTTAATTTATGAACCCTAGTTTTTGTTTCTCCCATCACAAGCTGCATAAGTACTGAGCCTTTACTGGCAATAGACCATACACTGTGGCATGTTTGATATTACAGTCATGGCAAAAGCGAAAGAAAAGCTTAAATTAGGGTTTGCAGAAGTTGGACTTATGAAAAAAACACTGAAAAATGCCTTGAATTGTTTATTTAAACACACATGCTTTACACTATCGTGGTTGGACAATTTGTTTCAATCATAACCCTAGCTAGAAGAAATAATTGCATATAATATGAAGAGGGTTGTTTTAATGTAAGTTAAATGGAAACCCTATCTACCAATTTGATATATAACTAGGTCCATATCTATATACGGCTATGCCCTTAGCTAGCTCTTGCAAGTTTCAAGTGATAATGTCAAGCACCAAATTCACACAATGATGGCCTAAATATTGACGTTAGTCTGGTATTGATTAGTGTATAGTATGCACTGGAATTCTTGATCGTTGAATACTTAACCACGAAATCTTTAATTGCATATCCAACTGGTTATTCACTTAACTCATGCTACGAGTCGTTTTATTGTAAATTTATGTTTAAGTAATATTTGATTAAAAGTTGAAAATACAAGTAAAAAAGGTACAACACATAAAACAAGGCCCTTTGGGAGACTTAATATTTGTAGTTTCTTGGCATGGTGAGGAATAATTACCCTTAAAAAGTTGAATGAAATCATGTGCAATATTGTAATTAGAATAATATAACTGTTGATTAATAAAATCGAGAATTTGGAATCATGATCATCCCCTTGTTTTATCTAAATGGGGGTGCCCGGAAGATGTGCTGCCATGCCTAGTGAACCCAACTTCACCACCAAATTGAGAAAAACCCTAGTGAGACTCAGACCTACCTTTAAATTTCTAGCTCTTACATATTCTTATTTGGCTCTTTCTCTTCTCTCTCTCTCTTTCAAGGTTGAATGTGTTTTGTTGTACACGTATATATCAGAGTGACAAACGGAGAGGACGATACTGGCTCCAGATTTCGAAGTTCTTACAGGTCTTGAAAGTTGTGTAAATTAAGAAGCTGTGTGACTGACTGACTGTGAGAGAAAAATGAAAGAGAAACACAGAAAGGCCCAGCAGGAAAGAAACAACACGTAAATGTCAAATCCCCCCCTAGCTACTCATCCTGTGCTTCCTCTCAAAGCCAGCTTGTCCATCCACACATTTCAAATTTCAAACATCGGTAACAGTACTATATTATAAATTTGTATTGTTCATTAACAATATGATTAGGGTATGTATATAGTAACGATCTCTTGTGCAGGAGGACATATTTTGTATCGATACTACGTCAAAACATATACTTTGCTATCGTTATCGACACCATATGGGCATTGCGTTAAGAACAAACGTTTGCAAAGAGAAGAAGATAAGAATGCATTTGAAAATGTTTATATACTGAGTACTAAACAAAGGACGGGCGACAACACAAACGATCTGGACCTAAGGTTTTACTGTGATCACTACCCTGCATAATCCACGAGCTTGTCACATGCTGTGTCTGTATTTGTGGGTGTGACCGTGAGACTGTGTGACTAAGTGTGACTGTGTGAAAGAGAAGGACCAAAGGTGGTATAGTAGTAGTAGTAGTTGAAAAGGAGGAAAAGGTTGAGAAAACTTTTGAGAAAGCTTTTTGGCGCTTAAGTCAATTTGGTGTCTGGATCGAGAAAATAAAAAGGCTGGGAAAACATATGCACACACGTACTTTGTATTAATCACCGATATATTATTGATTAATCTATCTCTGAAGGGGCTATAGACATACAAAATTTCATCGGGAATTACACACGCCTTTTCCTGGTGGTGGTTACTACATGCTCTCTTCATCTTTTGAACTCCTTTCGACGGAATCAGTGACCACATTCCTTATCAGCAATACGAAATTCCTTGAGGATATTCACTCTATCTCTTTTTTTTTTTCCTTTTTTTGGATCTCTTTGATTTTTCTGGACTTTAAAAGATGGTCAAAAGTTATCTGTGTGGACCATCATGGAGAATAGAGGGAGTCAATACAAATTCATAAACCAAACTCCATTGCTGTAATTTAATTGTAATTTGATGGTGGCATGAAATGGAAACCCTATTCTTGCTAAGTCGTATTTTAATCAGATACCAAGCCTTTCTTAGTCAGTTGGGCTAAGCCCTCGTTTTGACTGGCAATTGGTTTATGAATCATTGTTAGGCCTGCCCTCATATCCTAATATCATATAAGGCCCGGTAGCTTAGAGTGGCGCCTCTAAGCATTCCAACTTGGAAGATGTGAAATATGTAAGACTTATTGGAGCTGCACACCTGTTTCACGTGTGTTTAAAGGTTGTGATCATAGAGATTTAGAATAACACTGTTGGTAAGCTATCAGAGTGCGTGTACATTCAGGTTTCATAGCTTTAATGATTTGATAAACACATACGTATTTGTATGTGTTTACTGATATAAACACTCAGGTAAGTGATAAGGTTGAATTCGATAAGGATTGATATATTATGTCGAAATCGTCTTATTGATCATCAATACATGAAGTATAAATAAAGGGTCCCTGCACTACGCAATACAGAAAGCCTTAGGCCCCATATTGTTGAGAAATTGCATCAATAGACTGACGAGTTGCAGAAGACTCTTTCCTTAATTCTAGCAGTCATGGTTTCCTCAGGTATGTGGTTGTTTGGTTTCGTGAATCAGTTATCGTTTATATTCTTAATCTAACAAAATACAGGCCAACTTTTTTATTTTTATACAAATTGATATTTTGAAAGAGATGTGGACTAAGTCACAAAATGAGTTCGTCACAATCAGGTATTGATTTATTCATTAAGAGAAGCTAAGCTTGAGATCTGTCATTTATAAATGAAGCAGAATTTTTCATTCCAACATGAAATTAGGATCCACTCATGAAGATAATCGGCTAAGCAAGTTCCTCGGTGGGATCAACATGAGTGGCACCCGGTTGTAGCACCTGAATTGAACTATAACGGAAATTCAAAACATTCCAATCGTTGATAAGAGGAGTGTATGTGTGTGTGTGTACAGTGTTGCATGCTTAGTGTTTTCAATTTCGCTAAGTGCTAACCCTTTAAAATTGAAGATAACTTAACCTGCAAGTGCATGTCCCACATGTAGGCGTTTTTTAC